GGCAGTGTGAATCCGTAATTAGATCCGGTGTGCCTAAAGCGTTTTTGGATACGGCGTAGTCTTGCCGAAAAAGTAAAGTTCGAGGCGTGTGAGATCCTTCTCGTATAAAATTCCTAGAGTTTATTTTTCATACTTACACAGTTTCGTAACCAAACGTAAACAAAATAATTTTGTAAGACAATAGATTTCATTCATAAATATACGACAGATTTTTATCATTTTAAATGCTATTTTTAGTGGATACTTATATTTGAGTAGACACCCCATTTACTTATATAAAAAGTAACGTTTGAAATGATACCAATTTGTCGGATCGATAAATAAAATAAACAATTACTGTATGTATATTTTATGCCTTATACCCTGAAAACATGTTGTCTATATCATATAAGCATATATTTATATATTGATATATATATATATATATATATATATATATATATATATATATATATACACACACACACAAAAAGGTTGCAAGAGATTCCAAAGTCGTCTGAAGGCCGTAGGTGAAGTCAATGGCGCTTTTATTTACTCTTTATTTACTCTTTAGTATTTCAAGATATTTTGTGTAATTTAATATATCTGTATATATGTAATATATCTGTTAAAATGAGATGTCGAAGTTATTTTAATTTTTGCGTAATTTAGATGACAGTTTATCCATTGTACCATATATATATATATATATATATATATATATATATATATATATACAAACGCGAGCGACGCACACACACACACACACACACATATATATATATATATATATATATATATATATATATATATATATATATTATGTAATGGACGAAGTCCGACAGTTATTTTAAGACATTTTTATGTTTATACATTCTTTTTATAGATACAAATATTTAAGTAAATGCTCTGTTTATAATAATAGCAGTAACAGTCACTGTTTACAAATTCACTTTTCTCCTCGAGAGCTCAACCGAAATAATTTTTCTGGAGCATGCATATATTGTCATCTACAGACAGACTGTTTCCTGCTGTATCACAGCTCATCAGAGTGACTAGACATCACCTGCAAATGAATTGGCTATCCCTAATGCGAGGATTGTTACACCCATCTCCAAAACTATCGAAAATATAATTAGGATGAAAATAAAATTAAAAAAAACATTAAAATGCCGGATTTTATCAAATCAAATTTCTAAAATGCAATAGCATGTATATTGGTGAGACATCACACAATCTAAGACCCCGTATCCAAGAACACAACATCGCAACTAGGTGAGACATAATTTTAATTTCACGAATGCCAGCCTTTTAATATATATATATATATATATATATATATATATATATATATATATATTGAACAATAAGAAAATATTAAAAAATTGAAATCTTCAGACACACTGGGTTGTAGATTAATATTCTTTCGTTTTTTGTTTTTTTTTTTATTATTATTTCATTTAGATTCCTCGACTAGTTTCGGCCAAAATGGCTATCATCAGGAGAAGAAATATTTCTGCTTGCTGGTAGCAGTGAACTACAGAAATGAATGTCTTGATGGAGAAAATGAACTTTTGTCTATAGTTTTCATTTGTTTTTTTTTAATTTTTTATCTTTTTAACATGAATCTTTTAACATTCCTTGTGTTGGTCAAACAGTCTCTTTTAAGTTGTTATTTGAGATAAGAGCTGGATGGATCTATGCTTCTCTGAATTCCCGTGGTCAGTTTGACAGTTTTATTGGTCCTGGAGAGGGGATGTGTCTCTGTTAAGTGTTTGTGTGTGTGTTATTTGGTTCTTAGGGAGTGAGTGAGTATGATATGTGTAAGCGTGTATATTGCTGTGGGTGTGTGTTATCATTTGGCTCATTAGGGAGTGAGTGAGTAATTTGTGTAAGTGTGTATATTCGTGTGGGCGTGTGTATAAGTGTGAGGCCTCAACACCTCCGTAAGCATGTCTGTCTTGTGTGGGTGAGAAATGTGGGTAGGTTTTGATTTGTTGAGTTATATATTA